GTATTAGGGGGGCAAGAATTTCACTTTGATGAAGCTAAACTCCAGCACCATTCGTTCTTCCAAGTCTGGAGGATGAGCAGGAGCATTGTCCATTACCAGGAGGCACTTGAGTTCCAATTTATTTTCCAGGAGGTATTTTTTCACACTGGGGCTAAACACATCATGGAACCAGTCAAGGAAAATGTCCCTTGTGGCCCATGCCTTACTGTTTACCCTCCACATCACACACAATTTAGTCTTGATGACACTGTTTTTCTTGAACACTGGGATTTTCAGAGTGGTACACTAGTAAAGGCTTCACTTTGCAATCACCACTAGCATTACTACAAAACATGAGAGTTAGCTTTTCTTTCATAGGCTTGTGTCCTGGGAGTGCCTTTTCCTCCTGAGTAATGTAGGTCCTGTTTGGCATTTTCTTCCAAAACAGTCCTGTTTTGTCACAATTGAACACTTGTTGGGGTTTTAATTTTTCGGCCTCTGTACCCCTAGAAGTTACCTGGAGTTTACCTGGAGAGAGTTCCGGGGGTCAACGCCCCCGCGGCCCGGTCTGTGACCAGGCCTCCTTAGGTCATTGTCCCAGGATGCGACCCACACCAGTCGACTAACACCCAGGAACCCATTTTACTGATGGGGAACACAGACAACAGGTGGAAAGAAACACGTCCAATGTTTCTACTCTGGCTGGGAATCGAACCCAGGCCCTCGCCGTGTGAAGCGAGAGCGTTAACCAACAGGCCACCAGAACATATTTTTCAGCCACTTTTTTGTCAGAACTGGCAGCCTCACCATGCCTTGTCACAGTGTATGCCACTACAGTTCTTAAATCTCTCAAGCCAACCTTTGCTGGCCTTAAATTCACCAATATGAGCACTAGTTCCAGGCATTTTCTTAACCCTTTCAGGGTTTCGGCCGTACTAGTATGGCTTACGACCCAGGGTTTTTGACGTACTTGTACGCCTAAATTCTAGCACCCTCAAATCTAGTGAGAGAAAGCTGATAGGCCTACATATGAAAGAATGGGTTAATGTGGTCAGTGTGCGCGGTATAAAAAAAAGTCCTGCAGCACACAGTGCGTAATGAGAAAAAAAAAACTTTGACCGTGTTTTTGGATTAAAACAGCGACTTTGCACTGTATTTTCGTATGGTATTTATTGTTGTATTCTAGTTTTCCTGGTCTCATTTTATAGAATGGAAGACATATTACAGAAATTGAGATGATTTTGACTGGTTCTACAAAGAAAACTACCTTGAAATTGCGCTCAAAGTAGCAGAAATGTTCGATTTTTACCAAAGTTCAAAAGTAAACAAATCATGCTATGCGTCCAATACACGTCCACTGGTGAGTCTAATATTCTTTCACAAGTGCGCTGATAATATTTATACCATTTCTACACCAATGCAGTAGTCTGCATAACAGTAAATCTTCTATTTTTTTGTGAGAATAAAAATTCAAAGTGGAAAGCAAAAGAATGTAAGAGGGGCATGGGGACGTGACTAATGAACAGAAGAAATGTTATTTTAGTGCCAGGAATGTCTTTCTTGTTTATTCTGGACCCTATTCGGAAATTGGCATCTTTTGAAATTTGTGTGAAATTGGCAAAATTGCTAAATTCTGACCACTGCATTGGATAGTTGAAATCAGTAAATGGGTGCTTTCTTATACTCATTCGATATACAAAATGGAGTTCTAGTGAAATAGTTATGATTTTTGTCGACAAGTACACCGGAATTGGCCAAAAAATGGGGCTCAAAGTGGGAAAAATCGCTGATGCATAAACATCGTTGAGACCGCTAACTTTGCGAGAGCATAATTCCGTAAGTTTTTCATCAAATTTCATACTTTTGGTGTCATTATGATCGGGAAAAGATTCTCTATCTTTTCATAAGAAAAATATTTTTTTTTTTTTTTTTTGAAATTTGGCCGACCCTGAGAACAAGTCTCTGAGAGGGCCTGTCGACCCTGAAAGGGTTAATGAGATCATCATGGAACTGTCTTGCCTTTTCACACATAATTGATTGCAAAACACTATTCACTGATAATTGTTTCTCATTGATCCACACCAACACACACTCCACATCTTCGAGTATTTGCGATCTCTGTTTTGTAAGCATATTTGCACCTTTCGCAACAACAGCTTCCTTGATTGCCTTTTTCTTGGACAAGATAGTAGAGATGGTTGATTGGGGCTTGTTATATAACCTGGCCAGCTCGAAGACACGCACTCCACTTTCGTATTTTGCGATGATCTCTCTCTTGAATGCTATAGTGTTTCTTGCCCTCTTTACCAAAGGGCTGGCACTAGAAGCTTATTTTGGGCCCATAGTGGCTTATTTAGCAGTTACAAGCACTAAAAACAATGGAATACAAAATGTATCGCTTGTATGCGTGGAATTGTCCTTGTAAACAATGGCACACTGGCTGTATATGGAGTGGCCGGGCCGCTCACGGAGCGCAGACACGTTTGGGATGAATGACTTTAACAGAGTTCTGTGTCGTAAACCGAGCAAAAATTTTGACACAAAAATGTTACTTAACGCTTTGACTGTTTCAGCCGTATATATACGTCTTACGAGCCACCGTTTTTAACGTATATATGCTCATAAATTCTAGCGGCTTCAAATCAAACAGGAGAAAGCTGGTAGGCCCACGTGTGAGAGAATGGGTCTGTGTGGTCAGTGTGCACCATATAAAAAAATCCTGCAGCATGCATTGTATAATGAGAAAAAAAACTCTGAACTTTTTTTTAATTAAAATGCTGACTTTGTTATCTATTTTCATATAGTACAGTGGACCCCCGCATAGCGATATTAATCCGTGCAAGAGAGCTCATTGTTATGCGAAATTATCGTTATGCGAATGAATTTTCCCCATAAGAAATAATGGAAATCAAATTAATCCGTGCAAGACACCCAAAAGTATGAAAAAAAATTTTACCACATGAAATATACATTTTCCTACACACAAAGAGAAGGATACATGCACAATAGTAGAGTAGTACATGCACAATATATATTGTGCATGTACTACTCTACTAAATGAAGAATAAATGACACTTACCTTTATTGAAGATGCAGCAATGACTGATGAGACACTGTGTCCTGGGAGTGCCTTTTCCTCCTGAGTACTGTAGGTCCTGTTTAGCATTTTCTTCCAGAACAGGCCTTATCACACTGTGTATGCCACTACGATTCTTAAATCTCTCAAACCAACCTTTGCTGGCTTTAAATTCACCAATATGAGCACTAGGTCCAGGCATTTTTCCCTGTTCACCTGGGTGTTAGTCGACTGGTGTGGGTTGCATCCTGGGAGACAAGATTAAGGACCCCAATGGAAATAAGTTAGACAGTCTTCGATGACACTGACTTTTTTGGGTTATCCTGGGTGGCAAATCCTCTGGGGTTAATTGTTTCTTGGTATTCTCAATAAGCCACACCAACAACAGTGCTACAGCAGCAGCAGCAGCAGATGACGGTGGTACAACAGCAGCAGCAGACGATGCTACAGCAGCAGCAGACGATGCTACAGCAGCAGCAGACGGTACTACAGCAGCAGCAGCTGACGGTGGTACAGCAGCAGCTGACGGTGCTACAGCAGCAGCAGCAGCTGACAGTGCAGCAGCAGCAGCAGCAGCAGCAGCAGCTGACAGTGGTACAGCAGCAGCAGCAGCTGTACCACCAATAGTAGCGATGGTTGATTGGGGTTTATTATGCAACCTGGCCAGCTCGGAGACACGCACTCCACTTTCATACTTATCAATGATCTTTTTCTTCATCTCTATAGTAATTCTCACCCTTATTGCTGTAGGGTTGGCACTAGAAGCTTTCTTGGGGCCCATGGTCACTTATTTTGCAGATAAAATCACCAAAAATACTGTAATAATACGAAATATTCTGATTGTATGCTTGGATGTTACAGCGGAGGCTGGCTGGTAAACAATGCCACCGGCGGAACATGTGAGCATGGCTCAGGCCGCACATAGACGCGCCTTAGACGAACAGCGTTGAGCGGGTTTTTTAGCGGTATGCGAGGCAAAATCTTGGTGATAAAATGTAGCGGTATGTGGATTTAACGTTATGTAAGGCCAGCGGTATGCGGGGGTCCACTGTATTTATGGTTGTATTCTCATTTTCTTGGTCTCGTTTGATAGAATGGAAAACATATTATAGAAATAGAGGTGATTTTGATTGGTTTTACGATGAAAAGAACCTTGAAATGGAGCTCAAACTAGGGGAAATGTTTGATTTTTGCCGATGTTCAAAAGTAAACAAATGATGTCATTTTCCAATAAATGTCCAAGTAGCCATTCTGATATGCGGTCATGAATGGGTTGACATTATTTATACAATTATTACAATATTGCAGTAGTCTGCATAGCAGTAAATCTTCTATTTTTTTGTTTGAATAAAAATTCAAAGTAGAAAGCAAGAGTAATATCAGAGGGGCCTGGAGATGACTGATGAACAAAGAAAATGTTATTTTAGAGCCAGGAATGTCTGCATTGTTCATTCTGGACCCTATTTTGTAATTGTCATATTTTTTAATTTTCGTGAAATTGGTCAAATTGCAAATTTCTGACCATGTTATTGGGTAGTTGAAATTGGTAAATGGGCAGTTTCTTGTACTCAATTGATAGAAAAAATGGAACTCTAAAGAAATAGCTATGAGTTTGGTCGACTGGAACAATAGAATTAGCCAAAAATAGGGCTCGATGTGGGCGAAATCGCCAATTCGTAAATATCACTGAGGTTGCTAACTTCGCGAGAGTGTAATTCCGTCAGTTTTCCATCAAATTTCATTCTTTTGGTGTCATTACAATCAGGAAAAGGTTCTCTATCATTTCATAAGATTTTTTTTTTTTCCAGAAATTTTGCGACACCAGGAGACACCTCAGGATTTGGGGTTGTGACAGTCAAGGGGTTAATCCGATTATTACTTAATCTGATGACATCTTAATCTGGGGGTCCACTGTACAGGTATCACTTCCTTTATGGCATTTCAGGACTTTGAGCTACCAGAAGATGTAGATGCTCTACTGAAGGAATGGCAGCTATATGATGATGCTACTGCTAATGGTATAGCACTGTTATGGGGTCCCCGGCCCTTCAACATGCGTTCTGGTACTATGAGAAGAGCTATTGATGTCCCTCTGGTTAAGATGTGGTATCGTGAACACTGTCCTCCAGGCCAACCAGTTAAGGTTAGTATTATATTTTGATGTTTGTCTAGAATGCTAAACATTTTTCGAAGGCAAGTGTAAAGTTGTGTGTCAAATATAAATAATGATTTTAACAATCATCATGATTTAACCCTTTCACTGTCACTACCCTCCCAAAATTAAGTGCTCACAGTGTAGCAGTCCCCTACCTCCCAAAAAATTATATACAGATATAAAGATATTTTGAGTGTAATGAGACAAAAACAAAAATTTTCTTAGAGATAGGAATGCGTTAAGTTGAAGGTTGTTGATCTGAAGTCAGCGACATCGCAATTGCTGGGTACTCTTTTTTTTTTTTCCTGGAGGTTTTCTAAGTTTTTTACATTTTCCAGTAATTGTTAGGGCCCCTGACAACCAAATCATACACAGTGTATGTATGCCTAGCCATTGTAAATAACAAAAAGGCACAATACTGTGACTGGAACAGAACTAAGATTCATACACAACTGTCTTTGTTTGAATCTTAGTCCTGGCTTTGTCCCTGTAGATGCCTTCCTTTCCCATTACATTGTAAAATGCTCCAAACTTCAGAATACCCATGACTTAAGCTGATTCTTTTTTCTCCTCCCTCTTTCTGCTTTCTCCTTTGGGTTTTCTTTCTTCTCCCTTGGGTGTTTGGTCCATTATTATATCCCCCCCTCTGTATTTTTATTCCTACCCTTTGTGGGCACCTAGCTCCTTTGCAGTGCTCCTCTTTCTTAGTCTTCGATTGACCACCTCCGCCGCTGCCTCCTCCACCACTGCCTCCTCTGCAGCCTCCTCCTCCTCTGCTGCCTCCTCTCAACTCTGCCTCCTCCTCCTCCACGCCGCCTTCTCCGCTGCTGCCCCCTCCCTCCTTTGTCCCATCCCTGTCTGCTGACCTATATATACTGCCTCCTTCTCTGCTTTCTGTTAGTGTGACTGTAAATGGTCCAAGTCGGATCAAAACGTTGTCATAAGCTCCCATCTCCTATGTGCAGGTTATTTGTATATAGCCATTGTATAGAACACATACCTGCATTAACATTGTCTATAGTATATTGTTTACAGAACAACACACGGCACTGTAAACAAATACATATACTTCCAGTTGCTTCACATTTCTACTGTTCTAACATATATACACATACAGGCACTGGTCATATGCCTAGAACTAGTACAGTCTGTGAAAGTCCCAGAAACACTGCTCCATATACAGTGGTGTTTTACACTCCATACATATAAGACATACGTATAAGAGTTGTAGTGGCCATGCAGTGGGAAGGAAGGTCGGGGTCTTGATGGTACTCATTTCCAGCCTACAAGTTATTGGAGTACCTCTTTTTCTAAGGTAGTAGGTTGGTAGACAGCAACTGCCTGGGAAGGTACTACCGTACTGCCAGGTGAGTGTAAAACGAAAGCCTGTAATCGTTTTACACGATGGTAGGATTGCTGGTGTCCTTTTTTCCATCTCATAAACATGCAAGATTTCAGGTATGTCTTGCTACTTCTACTTACACTTAGGTCACACTACACATACATGTACAAGCATATATATACACACCCCTCTGGGTTTTCTTCTATTTTCTTTCTAGTTCTTATTCTTGTTTATTTCCTCTTACCTCCATGGGGAAGTGGAACAGAATTCTTCCTCCGTAAGCCATGTGTGTTGTAAGAGGCGACTAAAATGCTGGGAGCAAGGGGCTAGTAACCCCTTCTCCTGTATATATTACTAAATGTAAAAGGAGAAACTTTCATTTTTCCTTTTGGGTCACCCCACCTCGGTGGGATACGGCCGGTGTGTTGAAAGAAAGAAGAAAATATAAGAGCTGTAGTGGCCACGCAGTGGGAAGGAAGGTTGGGGTCTTGATGGTACTCATTTCCAGCCTACAAGTCATTGGAGTACCTCTTTTTCTAAGGTAGGAGGTTGGTAGACAGCAACTGCCAGGGAAGGTACTACCATACTGCCAAGTGAGTGTAAAATGGAAGCCTGTATTTGTTTTACATGATGGTGGGACTGATGGTGTCTCAAACATGCAAGATTTCAGGTACGTCTTGCTACTTCTACTTACACTTAGGTCACACTGCACATACATGTACAAGTATATATATACACACCCCTCTGGGTTTTCTTCTATTTTCTTTCTAGTTCTTGTTTATTTTCTCTTATCTCCATGGGGAAGTAGAAAAGAATTTGTCCTCCGTAAGCCATTCGTGTTGTAAGAGGCAACTAAAATGCCGGGAGCAAGGGGCTAGTAACCCCTTCTCCTGTATAAATTACTAAATTTAAAAAGAGAAACTTTTATTTTTCTTTTTGGGCCACCCTGCCTTGGTGGGATATGGCTGGTTTGTTGAAAGAAGAAGAAACATGGAAGATTTCAGGTATGTCTTGCTACTACTTCTTATACTTAGGTCACACTACACATGCAAGTACACATTTATGTATACACACTCATCTGAGTTTTCTTTGATTTTATCTTAATAGGGGTTTGGGATATTGGCAGTTTGGAGGGATATGTTGTGTATCTTTATACGTATATGCTTCTAAACTGTTGTATTCTGAGCACCTCTGCAAAAACAGTGATAATGTGTGAGTGAGGTGAAAGTGTTGAATGATGATGAAAGTATTTTCTTTTTGGGGATTTTCTTTCTTTTTTGGGTCACCCTGCCTCAGTGGGAGAGGGCCGACTTGTTGAAAAAAAAAAAAAGTTCATGTTGTTATTACTTTTTCTTTCATGTCCATGGGGAAGTGGAATAAGAACCTTTTCTCTATAAGGCATGTGTGTTGTAAAAGTCAACTAAAATACCGAGAGCAATGTGGGAAACAGATTATTTGGTGGTTCTGGTAGCGGGGAGTAAATGATACGTCTTCGGAGGCTTCTTACTTTATTTGCAAAGTCGTGGTGGGTACACAGGCTTGTGTGTTTGTGCCCATGGCCTGGGAGGGCCATGCCCACGAGGGAGAGAGGGAGTAGGACTGTTGACTGTTTCTAGGCCACTGCGTGAGTGAGGCAGATGCAGGGGTGGGCATACTGAAGTGGTAAGCCTATAGGTGGTAGCACCAGCATGGCGCAAAATATGAACTCAGCTGGCAGACAGCATAGGCTGTCTGTGCAGACAGTACAGGCTGTCTACATTTGCTCGGCCACTACCACATGGTCGTCCCGACCATGTCTGGCAGCAAAAAAAACTTGGTCTCTCTCTCTCTCGTAGGAACAGGGCACAGAACACAAAATAAAAAACATATATTTATATACGTATGGACATGGGAAAAAACTTCCTACAGGGAGGGAAGAAAAAACATGTGGGGTGTGCTGAACAATGTGGTCATAGGCAGTGAGCATCGATGGGCATCACTGCATGCCTTCCTGCGTCTGGACAGATACTGCAACACATGAGACATCGCTGCGGCTGAGCTGCGAAGTAACAGGGTACGGTCTCCTCTTGAACGGTGAAGCAGTCATCGTAGGAATCGCTGCAGGGTTTCACTCAACCTGGGACACAACATGCTGGTGCCCTCGAATGAGGCATTGTCAGTACTCGGCAACTGGGCAGGACTTCTTCTGGCAAGCGACTCATGAGGACACTTCTCGACTGGTGCTGTCGCTGGGGCTGTCACTGCTGGCGAGCATGGGGTGAGTCATGGCAGAGATGACTTGACGAAACATCTGGGAGTCGTAACAGCATACACCAGACTGCAGTGAGTGAGCTAGCAGTCAAAGTGACATCATCATTGTGCAGGAGCTCATTGAAGCTATGACACGAGGCTGACACAGCGCCTGCCGACAGGGCTTAAACTGCGGCTTGATGAGTGTCATTCTCTCGACAGTTGGAGTTATAGCAGAGGTTAGTCTAAGTGTCCCCAGACTTGTTTCTCTACATATAACTGCACTCTGAAGGTCTGGAGGTGAAGTGAAACAAATCTTGATGGGAATCGTAGCAGGTATGATTCTGCAGAACATCTATGAGCGACGAGCATAAGAGCTTTCTGTACAAGGGGCTCATGCGCTCAGGGCTGACTAATATCAGCTGTCAAACGCGCTGGTCACACCGGGTGACAACACAAGGTGCTACACGGGTCTGGCTGCAGACCTGTGGTCGACACACAGCTGGGCCCAAGACCACACAGGACACACGGGAAAACTTTACACACACCCACGGTACATGCGGTACAACATGGCTTAACTAGCAAATGATGCTTTTCTGTGCACAAAATTGACACTAAGCCATACACTAACATGTGAGAACACTGACTGAGAGGAATTAACACACAATATATATCTTCTCTCAATCTTCTCGACAATACTGACATAATTACTGAAACACTCGATGTGACATCATGAGATGTCAGGCGTGACTTCAGCAGCATGGTGACATTAGCAGACATCTCGAGGTGACGTCAGGCAGACATCGTGACGTCATGAAGTCGGGCAGCAGCAGATCACAGCTTGTGGCCTGGGACATCTGGCTCGGTAACTCATGAGGCTCGTAGATCCACGTGGCTTCGTCCACACCCCACGTGGCATCAGGATCCACGTGGTGTCGTGATCTACATGGCATGCTGATCCACGTACCTTCGAGTGGCCTTGGGCACTCGGATACACAGCTCATGGAAAACAGCAGACAACACAGCAGAGGGAGAGGGTACATGGTGGTGGACTGTGGTGGTAGGCTGGTGAGGTGTGAGTGAGTGGCGATGGTGGAGGACCGTGCCTACCTTCCTCACCCATACACACGTGGGAGAAACAACCCACCCTGGACGCTGAAATCACCACAAAACTCACCTCTGGCTTGCTGAAATAGCTGTGCTGAGCTGAACAACAACAGCAGAACATACAAGTGACGCTGAACGCGTGACTTGAGAAACAGCGTGGGACGCTGTAGCATGGGGTCACTGGGACGCCACTTACAATTCTCGAAGAAATTCGGCAAATTTTGGCTAGATCCTGCTTGTACCTGTGTCTAGATGCTGAAACGTGCAGACACGACATCAGGATAACTCGTTGAGAGACTGATGTTTCTAGTGTAGGGTGATTCTGAAGTGAACACAACTTCATTCTATTTCCTTCCTCTCTCCAGGCAAACACAACTTGCTGCAGCGGAGCGGGGTTCAAATGATAAAGGCTTCGGAGGCTTCTTTCTTTATTTGCAAAGTCGTGGTGGGTACACAGGCTTGTGTGTTTGTGCCCATGGCCCAGGAGGGCCATGCCCACGAGGGAGAGAGGGAGTAGGACTGTTGACTGCTTCTAGGTCGCTGAGTGAGTGAGGCAGATGCAGGGGTGGGCATACTGAAGTGGTAAGCCTATAGGTGGCAGCACCAGCATGGCACGAAGTATGAACTCAGCTGGCAGACAGCATAGGCTGTCTGTGCAGACAGTACAGGCTGTCTACAAATGGGCTAGTAATGCCTTTTCCCGTATAACTTACTAAAAAGAAAAAGGAGAAAACCGTCAAAGTTTGAATGTGCGTGAATGTAATGCGAATGATAAGAGAGAATTGTGGATGTTATGAATGAAAAGAAGCTGGATGTCCTGGTTCTAAGTGAAACAAAGCTGATGGGGGTAGGAGAGTTTCAGTGGGGAAAAATAAAGGGGATTAGGTGTCAGGAGTTTCTAATAGTTACAGCTAAGGAAGGAGTAGCAATAATGTTGAAGGATAAGTTATGGCAGGAAAAGAAGGAATATAAATGTATAAATTCAAGGATTATGTGGTGTAAAATAAAGGTTGTATGTGAAAAGTGGGTTATAGTAAGTGGTTATGCACCTGGAGAAGAGAGATTTTGGGAAATGTTGAGCGAGTGCATGGGTAGTTTTGAACCAAGTGAGAGAGTACTTGTGGTTGGAGATCTCAATGCTAAAGTGGGTAAAAATGTAGAGGGAGTAGTAGGTAAATTTGGGGTGCCAGGGGTAAATGAAAATGGGGAGCTATTAACCCTTTGAGGGTTTCGGACGTACTAGTATGGCTTACGCGCAGGGGTTTTTGACGTACTAGTACGCATAAATTCTATCGCCGTCAAATCTCGCGGGAAAAGGCTGGTAGGACTAGATGTGAGAGAATGGGTCTGTGTGCGTGGTAGAAAAAAAATCTGGGACCCAGTGGTGCATTGTGGGAACGCCATCTTAGTACACAATGTCCACCATGCCTCGCGGTAAGAAGTTCCTCACTCCTCGGCGAACTGGGACACTTTTGTTCCCCAGTGACAGTTCTAATACAGATGGACGTGCCAGTGAAGATGAGTTTCAAGGTTTTGGTGAGGTTTTGACCGAAACTAATGACCATAATATCAGTAATAGTGAGGAAAACACAGACAACCCTCAGCCTTCCACCTCTGGTGCTGGGCCGTCTTGTTCACATTCAGTTGTACCAGAATCAAAGAGGAAACTCCTATTTTCCCAAATCCCAGACTCAGATGTGAGCATTTGTGATGATAGTGATAGTGATTATGAACTACAAGCTCTTGAAAACAGTTCCAGTAGTGATAGTGAAGTGGAATATATCCCAGTGAAGTGTCAGTATATACGACGATATATGCCCTCTGGTAGTGTGCCATATGCTATTCCAAGGGGAAGGAGTACATCTCGGAGTACATCCCATGGCTGTACAACAGGAACAGACAGTGAAAATGACGATGATAGTGTTGCAATTGGGATGGAAAATGTGCATGGTGGTGGTAGTGGTGGTGACGGCTGTGAGGCACCAGCAGTGGGCCATGCTGCCACCCACGCTGCCACCCATGCCGCTGCCTCAGCTGATCTACAACAAAGGCCACCATCCCCCACCCACCCACCCACCCACCACACCAGCCTCCACAACCACAACCACCTGTCATTGTCCAGTATCCACCAGCAGACCTCACCTGGGATTGGCAGGAAGCTGTCAATTTTGTTCCAAATCCCCACCAGTTTGATGACAGCCAAAGTGGAATACGGCCATCTTGTACACTTGGGAACAATGCCATTGAACTGGAATGTTTCGAGTTATTCTTTGACGAACCCCTGATCAAAAGTATTGTCATGGAAAGCAACACATACTATGAGTACACCATGGCAAACACAATACTTTCACCAAAATCATGTCTACACCAGTGGAAGGAGGCAACTGTGGCTGAGATGTATCTTTTCTTTGCCATAATAATGCTTATGCCACATGTGTATAAGCACAAAGTGAAATCATACTGGTCAACAGACTGCCTGATTGCAACCCCAGGTTTCAGTGATACAATGCCAGTGAATCGATTTGTGCTGATGTTACGTATGCTTCACTTCTCAGACAAAACCAGACCTGACAGAAATGACAGGTTATATAAGATTAGGCATGTGTTTGTGTATCTGAAAGAGAAATTCAGTATGTATTTTTATCCCTTCAGGAAGCTTGTAATTGACGAGTCTTTGATTCTGTTCAAAAGAAGACTCTCTTTCAAGCAGTACATACCAAGCAAGAGGAAACACTTTGGTATAAAGTTGTTTGTGCTTTGTGATTGTTACAGTGGTCTGGTATTGGATATTATTGTGTACACTGGAAGTTATACATTGCAAAATACCAGGAAGTTATTGGGCATCTCTGGAACATTCTGTCTGTGTCCACCTTGTCGATTACTTTCAATGTTCTATATGTCGTTTCTACAGGTTTACCGTTTTTCATAAGTTCATTTTATTTTGTTTTTCAGGTACGTGTGTCCTACCAGAAGCTGTTAAAATACTATGTGCTCAACGCTTTGAAGCACCGTCCACCCAAGGCTCAGAAGAGACGGTATTTGTTCCGCTCCTTCAAGGCTACCAAGTTCTTCCAGACTACAACCTTAGATTGGGTTGAAGTTGGTCTGCAAGTCTGCCGTCAGGGATATAACATGCTCAATCTCCTTATTCATCGTAAGAACCTTAATTATTTGCATCTGGATTACAATTTCAACTTGAAACCTGTGAAAACACTGACAACCAAAGAGCGAAAGAAATCAAGGTTTGGTAATGCATTCCATTTGTGTCGTGAAATTTTGAGATTAACCAAATTGGTGGTTGATGCTCATGTGCAGTACAGATTGAATAATGTGGATGCTTTCCAGCTTGCAGATGGCCTTCAGTACATTTTTGCCCATGTTGGTCAGTTGACTGGCATGTATAGATACAAATACAAACTCATGAGACAGATAAGAATGTGCAAAGATCTCAAGCATGTCATTTACTACAGGTTCAACACAGGTCAAGTAGGGAAAGGTCCTGGTTGTGGCTTTTGGGCTCCAGGATGGAGAGTATGGCTTTTCTTCATGAGAGGTATTACCCCATTATTGGAGCGTTGGTTGGGCAACCTCCTCTCTCGTCAGTTTGAGGGCCGACATAGTAAAGGTGTTGCCAAGACTGTGACCAAGCAGCGTGTGGAATCTCATTTTGATCTTGAACTAAGAGCCTCTGTTATGCATGACATTTTGGACATGATGCCTGAAGGTATCAAGCAAAATAAAGCTCGAACCATTCTTCAGCACTTGTCTGAGGCATGGCGATGCTGGAAAGCCAACATTCCATGGAAAGTACCTGGCCTCCCAACACCCATCGAGAATATGATTCTTCGATATGTGAAGATGAAGGCTGATTGGTGGACCAACACTGCTCATTACAACCGTGAGCGTATTCGCCGTGGTGCAACTGTAGACAAAACAGTTTGCAAGAAGAACATGGGTCGACTTACACGGTTATACCTGAAGTCTGAGCAGGAACGACAACACAACTACCAGAAAGATGGACCCTACATCAGTCCAGAGGAAGCAGTGGCCATTTACACTACTACTGTCCATTGGTTAGAATCTCGTCGCTTTGCTCCTATCCCCTTTCCTCCTCTCTCTTACAAGCATGACACAAAATTACTCATCCTGGCCTTAGAAAGATTAAAAGAAGCTTACAGTGTGAAATCACGTTTAAATCAGTCTCAGCGAGAGGAATTGGGTCTCATTGAGCAAGCTTATGACAACCCCCATGAAGCTCTGTCTCGCATAAAACGTCACTTGCTAACTCAAAGAGCTTTCAAGGAGGTAGGCATTGAATTCATGGACCTTTACAGTCATTTAATTCCAGTATATGATGTAGAGCCCCTTGAGAAGATTACAGATGCTTATCTGGACCAGTACCTCTGGTATGAAGCAGACAAACGACGTTTGTTCCCACCTTGGGTTAAGCCTGGAGACTCTGAACCACCACCTCTTCTAGTGTACAAGTGGTGTCAGGGTATTAATAACCTTACTGATGTTTGGGATACAGCTGATGGAGAATGTAATGTAATGCTTGAATCAAAGTATGAAAAATTATATGAAAAGATTGATCTTACATTGCTGAACAGATTGCTGAGATTGATTGTGGACCATAATATTGCTGATTACATGACAGCTAAGAATAATGTAGACATCAACTACAAAGATATGAACCACACGAACCGTTATGGCATTATCCGAGGTCTACAGTTTGCTTCATTTATTGTACAATATTATGGTCTAGTAATGGACTTGCTGGTTCTTGGTCTGAAACGTGCTGCAGACATGTCTGGTCCTCCTCAAATGCCCAATGATTTCTTGAACTTTCAGGATGTTGCCACAGAAACACAGCATCCAATCAGACTGTATTCTAGGTATATTGATAGAATACATATCTTCTTCCGCTTTTCAGCTGAGGAGGCAAAAGATCTCATTCAACGCTATCTGACAGAGCATCCTGATCCAAATAATGAAAATATTGTGGGCTACAACAACAAAAAGTGTTGGCCAAGGGATGCAAGAATGAGACTTATGAAACATGATGTCAACTTAGGGCGTGCTGTGTTCTGGGATATTAAAAACAGATTACCTCGATCTGTCACAACCATCAACTGGGAGAATTCATTTGTGTCTGTATATTCTAAAGACAACCCTAACCTGTTATTTAACATGTCTGGATTTGAGTGCCGTATTCTGCCCAAGTGTCGAATGACACATGAAGAGTTCAAGCATAGGGATGGTGTGTGGAACCTGCAGAATGAAGTAACTAAAGAGCGAACTTCACAGTGCTTCTTGCGAGTGGATGATGAATCTATGCAGAGGTTCCACAATCGTGTCAGACAGATTCTCATGGCTTCTGGCTCTACAACATTTACCAAGATTGTTAACAAATGGAACACAGCCCTGATTGGGCTCATGACATATTACAGAGAGTCTGTAGTTAACACACAAGAACTTTTAGACTTATTGGTCAAGTGTGAAAATAAGATTCAAACACGTATTAAGATTGGTTTGAATTCAAAGATGCCCTCCAGATTCCCTCCAGTAGTATTTTATACACCAAAAGAATTGGGAGGTCTTGGTATGTTGTCAATGGGTCATGTGCTTATTCCACAATCTGATTTGAGATGGAGTAAACAGACTGATGTAGGAATAACCCATTTTAGATCTGGCATGAGCCATGATGAAGACCAACTTATTCCTAACCTATATAGGTACATTCAGCCTTGGGAAACAGAGTTCCTTGACTCTCAAAGAGTATGGGCTGAATATGCCCTTAAGAGACAGGAGGCAACTGCACAAAATAGACGTCTTACTCTGGAAGATTTAGAAGATTCTTGGGATCGAGGCATTCCAAGGATAAATACTCTCTTTCAGAAAGATCGTCACACACTAGCTTACGACAAAGGTTGGAGAATACGTACAGAATTTAAGCAATATCAGGTGCTTAAACAAAATCCCTTCTGGTGGACACATCAGCGCCATGATGGCAAGTTATGGAATTTAAACAACTATCGTACTGATATGATCCAAGCATTAGGTGGTGTAGAAGGTATTTTAGAACACACACTTTTTAAAGGCACCTACTTTCCTACATGGGAGGGTCTGTTTTGGGAAAAGGCATCAGGATTTGAAGAGAGTATGAAATACAAGAAGTTGACTAATGCCCAGAGGTCTGGTCTTAACCAGATTCCTAACCGTAGGTTCACTCTTTGGTGGTCACCAACCATTAACAGAGCCAATGTGTATGTGGGCTTCCAGGTGCAACTTGATCTGACTGGTATTTTCATGCATGGCAAAATTCCAACTCTCAAAATTTCCCTCATTCAGATTTTCCGTGCCCATCTTTGGCAAAAGATCCATGAATCTGTGGTAATGGATCTCTGTCAGGTCTTTGATCAAGAACTTGATGCTCTGGAGATTGAAACTGTACAAAAGGAGACTATACATCCTAGAAAATCATACAAGATGAATTCATCTTGCGCAGACATACTACTCTTTGCTGCATACAAATGGAACTACTCCAAGCCTTCACTATTAGCAGATTCAAAGGACACAATGGATGGCTCAACCACACAAAAGTACTGGATTGATGTTCAGCTCAGATGGGGGGATTATGATTCTCACGATGTTGAGCGCTATGCAAGGGCAAAGTTTTTGGACTACACTACTGATAATATGTCTCTGTACCCATCTCCTACAGGTGTGTTGATAGCAATTGATCTAGCCTACAACTTACACAGTGCATATGGTAACTGGTTCCCAGGAGCTAAACCTTTGATACAGCAAGCCATGGCAAAGATTATGAAAGCTAATCCAGCTCTGTATGTGTTGCGTGAGCGCATACGTAAGGGTCTCCAGCTGTACTCTTCTGAACCCACTGAACCATACCTCTCTTCTCAGAATTATGGTGAATTATTCTCCAATCAAATTATTTGGTTTGTGGATGACACTAATGTGTACAGAGTAACTATTCACAAGACCTTTGAGGGCAATCTTACAACAAAACCAATCAATGGAGCAATTTTCATCTTTAACCCTCGCACAGGTCAGCTCTTTTTGAAGATCATTCATACATCTGTATGGGCGGGCCAGAAGCGTCTTGGCCAGCTGGCTAAATGGAAAACAGCTGAAGAAGTTGCTGCTTTAATCAGGTCTTTACCTGTTGAAGAACAGCCAAAGCAGATCATTGTAACTCGAAAGGGTATGTTGGATCCTCTTGAGGTGCATTTGCTTGATTTCCCCAATATTGTGATCAAGGGTTCTGAGCTGCAACTGCCCTTCCAGGCTTGCCTTAAGGTGGAGAAATTTGGAGATCTTATCCTGAAAGCTACAGAGCCACAGATGGTTTTGTTTAATCTTTATGATGATTGGCTAAAGAATATTTCTTCTTACACAGCCTTCTCTCGTCTCATTCTCATATTAAGAGCTCTTCATGTCAATAATGATCGTACGAAGGTTCTTCTGAAACCTGATAAAACCACCATCACAGAACCTCATCATATCTGGCCCTCTCTTACAGATGAAGACTGGGTTAAAGTTGAAGTACAGCTCAAGGATCTTATTCTTGCTGATTATGGCAAAAAGAACAATGTAAATGTAGCATCCCTTACCCAATCAGAGATCAGAGATATTATTCTAGGTATGGAAATCAGTGCACCATCGGCACAAAGGCAGCAGATTGCAGAAATTGAAAAACAAACTAAAGAACAGTCTCAACTTACAGCCACAACCACCAGGACAGTCAATAAGCATGGTGATGAGATTATAACTTCTACTACCAGTAATTATGAAACTGCAACTTTCAGTAGCAAAACAGAATGGAGAGTAAGAGCAATTTCTGCTACAAATCTTCACCTGAGAACAAACTATATTTATGTATCATCTGATGACATAAAGGAAACTGGTTTCACTTACATCTTACCCAAAAATGTGTTGAAGAAATTCATCATCATCTCAGATCTTCGCACACAAATAGCTGGCTATCTGTATGGTGTTAGTCCTCAAGACAATCCTCAAGTAAAGGAAATCCGGTGTATTGTCATGCCACCGCAGTGGGGAACTCATCAAATGGTTCACTTACCACACAAACTACCTACTCATGAATTTTTGAATGAGCTAGAGCCTCTTGGATGGATTCATACTCAGCCTAATGAACTGCCACAGCTCTCTCCCCATGATATTACTACTCATGCCACTGTCATGGCTGACAACAGTTCATGGACTACAGACCGTACAATAGTTATCACATGTTCATTTACTCCAGGGTCTTGTTCATTGCAGGCATACAAACTCACACCATCTGGTTTTGAATGGGGCCGTAATAACAAAGACATGGGTAACAATCCGAAAGGTTATTTACCATCCCATTATGAGAAAGTTCAAATGCTTCTGTCTGATCGTTTCCTTGGTCTTTTCATGACGCCCTTGCAAGCTTCTTGGAACTATAATTTCATGGGAGTACGTCATGATCCCAACATGAAGTATGATTTGCAATTAGCTAGTCCTAAAGAATTTTACCATGAGGTTCATCGTCCAGCTCACTTCCTCAACTTCTCATCTCTGGACGAAGCAGATACTGCTGGGGCAGACAGAGATAACTCTCTAGAGTAAATAGAAATAGATATTGTTGATAGTATACTTATCTGAATAATCTATGCTCTTTTAAGGTTCATATTATATTGGGAAGAAATTAGTAAATGGTATAATATATTGACAATTTTTTAATGAATTAGTTCATAATACTATAACATGAATTCAGTATATGTAATGATTTTAACGTTGAATTTTGGAGTGACATCTGAACTGTCGTATCAGTGCACCTCTGCAAAGAGAGTGATTGTGTGAATGATGGCGAGTGGTTTTTTTTTTTTTTTTTTTTTTTTTTTTTTTTTTGTCACCCTGCCATGGTGGGAGACACCAGCGTGTTGAAAAAAAAGACAGTTGATTGAGTGAATGTTAATGTGTTTTTTTCTCTGGGCCACCCTGTCTTGTCAGGTGACAGCCATTGAGTTAAAAAAAAAAAAAAACATATTTTCATTTGGTTAGATGGTAAACAATATCACTAATGTCAGTTGTAAAAAATATTGTTTCTGTACTGAATAACTCGCATGATTTCAGCATTTTTTGTGAATATAATAATGCAGACTATTTTCTGTGGAAAACAAAGTTTATACCATTACAAACAAATTTATTTTAGGTGCACCACTATATATATATATATACACACACACACACACATGTATGTATAAATATATGTATATTATTAAATAAAAGTATTAAATTTGAATTATTTTTTTTCACCCTTAAGCACCAGGCCATCAAGACTTTTACGGCATAATTATTTTTGCTTTGTTAACAGGATTTTACTGTCGAGTCATAAGTCCCTGAAGCAAGGGATATGTACTCTTTCCACTTTTCTTTTCTCATTCATAATACAGCCTCTCCTCAATGACGGAGTTAGGGGCCTAACACCCCGTCAGTAAATGAATTCGTCACTAATTGAGGAATTGCCCCTTACCGACACTTCAAAAGTGTCACCACCCAAAATTAAAACATTCACTTTTATGTTTGCTGGGAAATTCTTTTACCTTCCTCCCCTGTTCCCTCCCAAGTTTCTTCCTCTTCTGCCACCTCCCAGGTTCCTGTCTCTTCTGTCCCCTGCCACGCTTCTCCAGTTCCCTCCACCCTTTCGCCCCCCACTACCTTGGTACAGTCCAATACAGTTCCAATCTTTACTCATCCTCCCCCTACCATTCCCAATATTGTCTCCCATACGACATCTCTGAATTCCGAAACACTTGAAGCAATCTCTGAATATATTGCAGAGACCAAACCATCAATGGACACTGATCCACCTTCCGCTCTCTCTCTCCTCTGCTCCATCTGCGCAACTCCTTTCTTCACAGCGCACCGTTCCTTCGCTGCTTGAACATTTTCCACTGTCTCATCATGTGGACTTTTCTAACCCTTCTAGTCCGTAGGAACCCTTTCCTGCGGATTTCAAGTATCTTTATCATTACCAATCATGGCCTTTTTAAAGTGGAATATACGCGGCCTCAGGGGTAATCGGGGTGAGCTTCAGATGTTACTCTCCCAGTTTGCCCCTGTTGGTGTTTGCTTACAGGAACCAAAATTACACTCTGCTGTTATTTCTCACATCTCAGGCTATAATTTATTGTATTCTTCAGATCCTTTTCCTGATGGGACCTTTAATGAAAGTGCCCTTCTTCTCCGCACTGATATTCCGTACCATCAGCTATTTGTTCATACTTCGCTGCATTACACAGCAGCCCGTATCCACTTACATAGGTGGTATACGCTCTGTTCTTTATATCTCTCTCCTTCTCGGGCATTATCTATTCCGGATTTTGCCTTCCTTGTTTCGTCATTACCGCCACCGATTCTGTTACTTGGTGATTTTAATGCCCACCATTTCCTCTGGGGGGGTCTCACTGTGATTCCCGTGGAATTCAGTTAGAGGCTTTTCTTGCCACCCACCCCCTCCATGTTTTAAATACAGGTACTCACACCCATTTTGATCCTCGGACTCATACTCTCTCTTGCATCGATCTCTCAGTTTGCTCTTCCTCCGCCGCATTAGACTTCACTTGGTCTGTTCTCCCGGACTTACATGACAGTGATCATTTCCCAATCATTCTTACTTCCCCTTCATATTCGCCACCTCTTCGCACCCCACGCTGGCAATTTAATCGGGCAAATTGGAACCTTTACTCACACCTGACTGTTTTTTAAAGAGGTTCCTTCTTCGTCCTCCATCGATGAGCTTTTACACCTCTTCTCGTCCTCCGTTTTCACCGCAGCTTCTCATTCTATACCCCAAACTTCGGGCAGGCATTCTCAGAAATGCGTGCCTTGGTGGTCTCCTGCTTGTGCTCGTGCAGTACGTTTGAAACGCGCTGCAGGGGCAGGTACCGGTACAATAGAACCACAGAGCGACTCCTTGATTTTAAACAGAAGCGTGCGATCGCTCGCCGTGTCATCCGTGACGCTAAACGCACTTGCTGGCGAGATTATGTCTCCACCATCACCTCTGCTTCCTCTATGAGTGCAGTCTGGAAAAAAGTACGAAAACTGAGTGGTAAATATTCTCCTGACCCGGCTCCTGTTCTGCGGGTTTGCCGGTGTTGATATAGCAAACCCACTAGATGTTGCCAATGAAATTGGCAATCATCTGGTCCGTATTTCTCAGGGACTCCATCTATGCCCCTCATTTCTTTCCTCAAAGTCTGCCAGAGAGTTAGCACCCTTGGACTTTTCTTCTCTCAGAGAAGAACAGTATAATGTGCCTTTTACACTTCAAGAACTGGAGGCAACACTCTCAGCTTGTCGATCATCGGCAGCTGGGCCCGACGACATTCATATTCGTATGCTACAACATTTACATCAGTCAGCCCTTGCAGTCCTATTATGCCTTTACAATCTTATTTGGTCACAAGGAGTTCTTCCACAGCTGTGGAAATCCGCCATTGTTCTCCCTTTCCGCAAACCAGGCACTACGGGACATGAAACCTCCCACTATCGTCCCATTGCTCTTACCAGTGCAGTTTGCAAAGTAATGGAACGCCTAGTAAATAGACGTTTAGTGTGGTATTTAGAGACACACAACAGTCTCTCCACTCGTCAATATGGCTTTCGTAAGGGACGTTCTACCATAGACCCCTTACTACGCTTGGATACGTATGTTCGTAATGCCTTTGCGAATAACCACTCAGTTATTGCCATATTTTTTGACCTTGAGAAGGCATATGACACAACTTGGAGGTATAATATTTTAGCCCAAGCCCACTCCTTAGGCCTTCGAGGCAATCTACCATCCTTCCTTAAGAACTTTTTAACTGACAGGCATTTCCGTGTTCGGGTTAATAATGTGCTCTCCCCGGACTTTATCCAAGCTGAAGGTGTCCCCCAGGGATGTGTTCTGAGCACAACACTTTTTCTCCTTGCTATTAATGATTTGGCCTCTAGTCTTCCATCAAATATTTGGTCATCACTCTATGTTGATGACTTTGCTATTGCCTGTGCAGGCGCTGACTGTCACCTCCTTACAGTTTCTCTCCAACATGCAGTCGACCGTGTTTCCAATTGGGCCACCACACGTGGGTTTAAATTTTCCAGCACTAAAACCCACCAAATCACTTTCACTAGACGCTCTGTCATCTCCGATCATCCTTTGTACCTCTATGGCTCCCGTATCTCTGAACGTGATACAGTCAAGTTTCTGGGCCTTCTCTTTGATCGTAGGTTATCCTGGAAACCTCACATTACCTCTCTGAAGGCAACTTGTCACAGCCGGCTGAACCTTCTTAAAACCCTTGCTCATCTTTCGTGGGGAGCTGATCGTCGAACCCTCCTTCGCCTACATTCCACCCTTATTTTATCGAAACTTGATTATGGTGACCAGATCTATTCAGCGGCATCTCCTGCTACTCTCTCTAGCCTTAACCCCATTCATCACCAAGGATTACGTTTATGCCTTGGTGCTTTCCGCTCTTCCCCTGTCGAGAGCCTCTATGCAGAAGCGAACGTTCCATCCTTATCCGATCACCGTGATGCCCATTGCCTGCGCTACTATGTACGCTCTCATGATCTCCGCAATCCTTCCATTTATAGAGTGGTCACTGATATTAGTAGACATTCTTTATTTGTTCGACGCCCCTGTTTACTCCGTCCCTTCTCTCTTCGCCTTCATTCGCTCTTGTCTTTCTTCTTCGCTCTTGTCTTCTCTTCAACTACCACCTTTCTATGTACATGTAGCATCTCACTTTTCCCTACCCCCCTGGGAAGTTCCAGCTGTTCGAGTCTGTTCTTTCTCCCTCCCTTGCTCGAAAGCCCAACTGTCTACGGTCGCTTCCCGCTCTCTTTTTCTTGACCACTTTCACTCTCATTCTCATGCCATTGCTGTGTTTCACAGATGACTCTAAGTCTTCTGACGGCGTAGGATTCGCAGCAGTGTTTCCGGACAGCGTCGTACAAGGGCATTTACTATCTTCGGCTAGTATTTTTACTGCTGAATTATATGCCATCCTTACAGCACTTATCCGTATTGCATCTATGCCTGTGTCATCTTTTGTGGTTGTCTCAGACTCCCTTAGTGCTTTACAGGCTATACAAAAATTTGATACACCTCACCCCTTAGTCCTCCGTATCCAACTTTGGCTACGCCGCATCTTTACCAAGCATAAAGATATTGTTTTTTGTTGGGTCCCTGGTCATGTTGACGTACAGGGCAATGAACAGGCAGACACTGCTGCACGGTCAGCAGTACATGACCTACCAGTTTCTTATAGAGGTATTCCATTTACGACTATTTTGCTGCAATATCTTCCCACCTTCACACCCGTTGGCAACAACGTTGGTCTACTATGCTCGGCAACAAACTTCAGTCTATTAAACCGAGTATAGGTCACTGGCCGTCTTATCACCAATGTCGAGGTTGGGAGACTACTCTCTCCCGTCTTCGCATTGGCCATACTCGTCTTACTCATGGATATCTCATGGAGAGGTGTCTTGCTCCTCTCTGTGAGAATTGCCAAGCTCCATTATCAGTCAGCCAAAATTCTGTTGGACTGCCCACTTTATCAACGAGCACGCAGAATTTACCTCTGTCGTCGTCTTCGCTCCGCTGCTCTCTCTACCTTCCCTTCTCGCTGATGGACCCACCTTTCATCCGGACTCTCTCATTGACTTTTTGACAACGACTGACTTACTTCACAAATTCTGATACCTTCAGCCCTTTCTACTTCAATCTCTTGCTACCTTCTACCCCCGTACATTCCCCTGCCCCGCTGTTTTCTGTAACCTGCTGATCATCCCCCCTCCCTTCTGCCATCCAATTCCCTTGCTTCCTTCCCTACCCTGCAGCGCTGTATAGCCCTTGTGGCTTAGCGCTTCTTTTTGATTATAATAATAATAATAATGGGAAATTCTTTTCAATCAGTTTATTATTAATGGTAACACAACATAAAATAGGTCAATGACATATGATATATTCCAGGAAATGCGTGCATAGCTGATTACTTGGGAAATTTTTTGAGAAAATTGCACTTTTTTCAGTCTTTGCATAGGATAAGAATGATCTTCTATAGTTACCCTTCAGGTACATAGCATTTAACGTTTTCTGTAATAGTTGCAGTCACTTTTTTTTTTTTTTTATCCCTCCCTGCCCTCCACACCTCTCTATGTAACGTCAGTTTTCATTAATTTGGGTGTTTTTGTCGTGCTTCTACGTTATTTATGTTATACCTAATATTATTATGGAATAAATAT